ACTGTGAAGTGTGAAGTGTGGAGTGTGAAGTGCGAAGTGAGAAGTGTGAAGTGTGAGGTTTGGAGTGTGAAGGAAGCAGTGAGAAGTGAGAAGTGTGAAGTGTGAAGTGTGAGTGAAGTGTGGAGTGTGAAGTGCGAAGTGAGAAGTGTGACGTTTGGAGTGTGAAGTTTGGAGTGGGAAGGAAGCAGTGAGAAGTGAGAAGTGTGAAGTGTGGACTGTGAAGTGTGGAGTGTGAAGTGCGAAGTGAGAAGTTTGGAGTGTGAAGGAAGCAGTGAGAAGTGAGAAGTGTGAAGTGAGAAGTGTGAAGTGTGGACTGTGAAGTGTGGAGTGCGAAGAGCGCAGCGTGAAGTGTGAAGTGTGAAGTGTGATTTTGGAGTGTGAAGGAAGCAGTGAGAAGTGTGAAGTGTGGACTGTGAAGTGTGAAGTGTGAGTGAAGTGTGGAGTGTGAAGTGCGAAGTGAGAAGTGTGAAGTGTGAGTTTTGGAGTGTGAAGTTTGGAGTGGGAAGGAAGCAGTGAGAAGTGAGAAGTGTGAAGTGTGGTGAAGTGTGGAGTGTGAAGTGCGAAGTGAGAAGTGTGAAGTTAGGAGTGTGAAGGAAGCAGTGAGAAGTGAGAAGTGTGAAGTGAGAAGTGTGAAGTGTGGACTGTGAAGTGTGGAGTGTGAAGTGCAAAGTGAGAAGTGTGAAGTGTGAAGTGTGAAGTTTGGAGTGTGAAGGAAGCAGTGAGAAGTGAGAAGTGTGAAATGTGGAGTGTGAAGTGTGAAGTGTGAAGTGCGAAGTGAGAAGTGTGGACTGTGAAGTGTGAAGTGTGAAGTGTGGACTGTGAAGTGTGAAGTGTGAAGTGTGGACTGTGAAGTGTGAAGTGTGCAGTGTGAAGTGTGAAGTGTGAGGTTTGGAGTGTGAAGGAAGCAGTGAGAAGTGAGAAGTGTGGAGTGTGAAGTGTGGAGTGTGAAGTTTGAAGTTTGGAGTGCGAAGAGTGCAGTGTGCAGTGTGAGGTGTGGAGTGTCGAGGGAAGGACACGGTCGGGACAGGGTGTCTTTGAACTATAGGTCATTTATGTTTGGGAAACTTCCGCCGCCGGCTTGCCCGGGTCTATGTTAATAAATATGGATACAGTACACATTAGAACACCGTTGCCCCCAGCCAACGTACTTCAAACTTCATTCAGAGGACGCTATAGCCTTCCCCAAAAAAATGGAGGTGCATCCCGGGCATACCTAGATGAATGGGTTTGATCATTGGGCTAGATTATGTTAGATTAATGGATCATGTGATATAGGTTATGTGCCACAAAAGTTTTGCCTCATTCAAGCACATTGATCTTTTGTGTCTGAAAATAGGGTCCCCCCGATTCCAATGGATTTTCATTCTAATTTTGGATGATTTGGAATAGACCCATCTTAAGAAGCTTTTATTGGATTCTAATCGGCTCACCTTGCTGATTTTCAATGGTAAACATCGTCACTTTCTGCACCCAGGCACCCAGCATCAAGATAGCGCTCTCGGCTCCCAGCCGCGAGGAGAGGCGCTGCATGGTGCTCTTCATGGAGGAGAACATGTGCTTGGAGAGATTCTTGCACTGAGCCACCTAGGCACCGGGGAGCCATCCACTGCGAGAAGAATTGGGAATCTATCATAATTCAACGGTGATCAATAGGGATTTAATGGGACTTAACGGTGATTCATAGGAATTTAAGGGGGTATGATTTAATCCCTTCCTCACTTCCTGCTTCATATTAGACTCCCCTAGAAACCATGTCAGTGCCAGTTGATTTTGGAACATCGGAATATCCCGGACAATGGTTGCTGGCAATGAGTAGCATCAGTTGATTTTGGAGAATCACCCACATAAATGATGGTTGGTCAATGACGATTCATGGACTTTGATAACATGATCTCCAATGCAGTGGCAAGTGTAAACCCCTAGAATTATCAACCAGTGAGCTTGTTCAGGAAAAACCAGTGGATGGGGCCCTGAAACGATTGGTAAATATGTTTAAACATTGGTTTTTAATTACCTAGGCTAGCGATTGGATTTATGCTGAAGGCTTGTAGTTAGATAAGTTAGATAGTTAGATGCCCTTTTAAAGCAACAACGTGGGGGCCTTAGTTTCTCCGTTGGTGGATGGGTTTTTTTCCCGCGCCGAGGGGCCACTTCCTTCACCGCATCCTTGTGCAATTCGGTCTTGCCACCTCGCCTGTCCAACGGAATGGCCTTCCGCTTCAACAAACCCTCGTAGGAGTCCAGGATCATTTGCATGTTCACTCCTGGTTCGGTGGTGAGGACTGGTAGCTGTGAGGCCGTTTGAAGTGGCCACCATTCTAGAACAATGACAACTATTCATGCTTCTGAAATTCTAGCGCCAGTTAACGCCTAACATGAATTTGCGATAATTTTGGATGATCCGGGGACAGCCTGCTACAAAATGATACACAAATTTATGATACAAAAAGAAGGGTGAGGTTCCCTAGCTATCCCCCTGTGTTGTTTTTGGGAGTGAACTTGTGCCGGGATGACATCATGCGGACCGCAATGGGCATTCCTTGCATACTGTGCCCCGCGGAGTTCAAGGAACCGCCATTTCACAAAAAGAATTTGATACGCACAATCACCAGTTAGTATGCAACATTTTTCCTGAAAAATTAAACATATGTTTTCATGGTTTTAATTTTGATGACCTACGGCATTGTTTGCTCCTTTTGGCCGTTTCGGCTATCGTGTGCCTGTACCTATCTATATCAAGGTCCTGTAATGGGACTTGCGCTCACTTGGTTGAAAGAAACTTTGAGCATGGATTTGAACTTGGGTAAAATACAACTATTGAACAAAAAAGAGCACCAACCTAGTATATATAATTGAATGCACGTGGATTGTGATCACCAAAAACTCAAACCCAGGCACGGCTCAGAGAATATTTATGACGATTGGCAAAGCTATGGAGCAACACAAAAAACTAAACCGCACACTATGAATCTCACACGATTGGTTTTAAAATCTGTTAACTGGGATCATTAGCTTTACATAATTTCAACGCACAAATCTATCAAAGTCTGCGGTTCTATCCGGTCTACCCCGGAATTTACTACAAAAAACATCCAACATTTACTACAAAATGACTCCTCACCTTCACAAGGTAGAGGCGAACATATAAACTACAAAGTGCATTTTTTAGTAATATTGGTCTTATCAATGAAGATCATGCCCTACTGCAAAATGTTAACACAGGCTACAGCTACAAATTCCATTTATTGACCATATGTTTAAATTTTGCTACAAAATCCATAGGAAATGGCCAGTCTGTACCAAGCACGTGCTCACCTTGGGATATGGGATCCCATCGAGTCCGGATAGCCGTCTCCTGCATTGGCCAATGTCGCCTGCTGCTCCTCGGTCCAAAGGCTCGGAATCATCTCCAAGAGCTCCTGTGAAAAGCCATTGCCTCGGACACGAAGGAGCTCGGTGACCGTCGGTGACCCCGATTTCCAGAGAGTTTAGGTGTCTTTTAACCAGGAACAGACATATGGTTTGAACTTGCTTAAAAGGTGTTTTAATGGGTTAAAAAAAGTTTATCAATTATTTCAGGATGTCGGGATAATTTATATAGCCATAAATGTGGATGATTCTTCATTGTGAACTGGGGAATAGGTTCATCATAGGAATGTCATCAAGTATGGGGATGATCAGCCAAACCTTAAAAGACGCTATAAATGGCCGTAAATGATGAACTAACCAACAAACATCAGGACATAAGAAATACCATAGGAATAGGAGATCTTCAATAGATTGATTTACAGAACTTGTTGTTGATATCATCAAAATCCTGCAAATTACTTACCAATACCAATATAAATGCAGCTTTTTGGCGATTATCTACCAAATTAAAATTGTTTCGGATTATTTTTCCATAAGGCGTTGAACAAAATTCCTACTAACTGGGGAGATTCACCCACAATACACCGATTAGAAACGCCATACAAAGTGCGGATTGAGATAGAAAAAATGCGATGGGAAATAATCGCTTGGCTAGTGAATGGGACCTTCCATGGATTCATGTTTGAAACCACCAGTGTCAATCCCAGTGTTTCCATCCATTTGCCCATAATTTCATGCATCCACTACATGGATCTTGTTACTTAGCCCACAGGAAAATACCACCTTTAACGCCTTCGAAAAATGGCTGATTTCATGATTTAGCCCAGAAAAACTTGAAGAACAGCAAGTCATAAATACCTAAAACAGGCAATTTTTCTGACGATTTCCCTTACTCCTTCCCGTATGGAGCCCCATCACTCATGGTGAGGCCTTAAGGAGTCGATAACTATAACTATGTTCTGTTAGACACAGCAACCTTACGTTCACAAACTAGACAAAGCAACATCTTGTGTGTCTCTCATCCTTTCTACACCCACAAAACAGTAACTTTTACCACACACGCCTCTTAGTCCTTTTCTATTGTATCCATGCCTAGTTTTCCAAATATGTCACAGATGTGCTTATATACATATACATATACACATACATCTATACATATATATATATATATGTATATATATATATATTATACACCTATGATACCTATGTGTATATTATATTGAAAATACAAGGTGATGCCCCATCGTTAGTCGAGTGGTTTTCTAACTATCAAAACGTAGGGCTTACGGCAAAAAAAACGCCATTCTCCCATCAGGTCCCAATCACATCCCCACAGAATGGTAGGATCTATCCCCATAAAATCGTCATAGATAGTCCAATTATACCAACCATTAACCAGCCCATCAAGGCATCCATCCAAATGATATAGTTGGGAACAACGAAAATCAACCACATCTGTCTTTGATAGTCAATAAAAACTCTATATATATATATAGAGAGAGAGTGAGCGCTTATTCATGGTGAAATCAGCCATAGAAGTGCCATATGTTTTCAAAGGAACAAAGCCACCATCACAATTATAATCATAAACCCATTGTATGTATCCCCATTGGTATTCCATTCATATCCCTGTCTGGTAAACCCCATACTGATGGGAGGGATTTCAACATTCCCAAGTGGTAGGTTTATGGCATTGGATCTCCCACCAATCAACCATAGTTTATCACTAGCTCAAACCCAACAGTTCCCTCCCTCCTTGATAACTCTTATATAAGCCAAATTATTAGATTATAAACTAATAGTTTTCTCCCGCCCCATCCCTCACCAGGTCACCATCACAACTCACCAGCACGATGTTGGTTCTGGCCGCCCACGCGCTAGCGATCTCTGCGGCACACCACATGCGCTTCAGGGTTTCGCTGGTCATCAGGACCACCACGTTCTCCGAATCCCAGGCCGTGACCTACAGCGACGCCCATCCCGGAACGCTCCCGGGGCGAGGGTAGGGTTTGTCTCAAAATGTCGGTTTTTTTTGATGGCCCGAGCCATGGGTTAAAAAGTAAGAAATATGATAGTGATGATCAACTATGGAGTGGGATGGGCTTCCAAGACTTGGGACAATCCCACTCTCTGATATCTGAAAATGGCAATTGTCTTGGTGAAAAATGGGTGGGGATTGAATCATCGATAATGATCTCGCCAACCAAATGTGGGTGTCACCCAACAGAGCGGCCATACTTGGAGAGTAACTCGGCTTTATACCTCAATGCTATTCATTGCGAGCGAGCAAACATGTATTTGATGTAATTATAGTGTTCTACCTTACTGTATTTAGGTGGTTTTCAGTTTTTGTTCATGTATGCATTTACATGCACACACACACACATGTGACCATAGACAATAAATTACATATATACATGCAATGTATATATATATATACACATGTGTATGTATATATATGTACATATACACACACACATATATATATAAATATCTGATATTTGCGTTTAATTACCCCATCCCAGCCAATGCAGAGAGCTGACATTGATGATGGCATCCAGTTTGCTGACATCATCCGAGTCCAAGAAAACACGGGTGGGTGTGATCTCAGCCAAGAGCATCTTGAACCACCTGCGACTGTGAGCATCTGGGATCCAGCATGGGATCTGGCTTACGGCTCACCTTTCAAACAAAAATAACGCTCAGTTGAACGGAAAAGGTGAACCGTTCAATTTTGATGTGAATCAACCAATCCCCAAAAATAAGATATTCAAAGATGCTAAAAGATCCACAAGGTTGAACCAAACCCAAGAGTTGTCGATTGAAGACACTTCAGTGACGGGTAGAATCACCCATGAGGTTGACCTTGGCATTCGGCCTTCAAGGGAGAGTTTTCAGCAATGAAATTGGGATCAAACCTTGCTTGAAGGGATTTCGCCAACGAACTTGGGATTCAACCAGCCATATAAACTAAATATATATCCAATATACATCCCGTATCAATCCTCATGTTCCTACCTTCGGCCACCCAACATGGCCATTCTACCTGGAGAGAACTGCAGCGCCGAGCTTGTGGTGGCTCAGGAAAATTCCTCGGTGGGGCCCTGAATCAAAAGCCTAGGACCCGAGCTGCCCCAAAAAAAACCTGGCTAAAGGATGTTTAGTACCCCAAAAATGGTATAAGTTCATAGGTTTTGGCCCATTCCCACATGAAAAGCTTTGGTGTGCAGTGTGAATGTCAATTGTTTATGGTTTTGATTTTGATATGACTAATATAATAGGGTCATTTTCATGGTCTGGAACATTCCCCTCCGAACATCTACGATCCCCTAGCAGAATCTGGGGCCATGATATGCCATGGTCAACCCCATGGCAAACCCTTTGGCTGGATCTAAATCTTAAGATTCATCCCCAAAGATGTCCAATATATATATATAATTGTAAATATATATATATATAATATATTTTTCCATATAAATTAGAGTATTTCCAGATGCCTGGGTCCATCATCTGGTGACCCCTTGAAGGGTCACCGCTATGCGGTCCGCGAGTCCATATGTCCTCGAGGGATGGTAGGTGCGATAGACCGCCCAGCAAAAGACCAACAGCAAGCCGATGAAAGCCAGGACCATGCCCACGATCAGGATCATTTGGATCGTCGTGTTTCCTGGCGAAAACCCACTGCACAACACCGTACGAAAAAGAGCACTCGACGTACGTTTGTCGGTAAAAAAGGGGTCGCATGGGGTCGCTTTCAAAAGGGCTCACTGTGGAAAGCGTTCCAAGTCCCAAAATGAAGGCTGGCTAGAAGCTACCAAAATTTGTGCAACATGCATCGAAATGCTGTATGCTACCTCCAGAGGGACTTAACAGAAGAAAACAAAGAACAAAACAAACAAGAAGAAGAAGAAGAAGGAAAAAAGGAAGAAAAGGAAAAAAAGGAAGAAAAGGAAGAAAAGGAAGAAAAGGAGGAAGGACACATATTCATTTTCCTAAGTGTCAAAACTTCCGCAGTGAAACCCACTTGCTCACTATGCCACCCGTCAGCCTCGGGAGCTGTCAAAGTCCAACAACATGCTACCCACAACTATCACGACCATCAAGAAGAGGGCCAAACAGGAATCCTCAGTGAAATGATGTCTCCTTTTCTTGGGTGAAAAAATGTATATACATATATACTGTAATATGACTTGAATTAGACGTGTGCGTATATGTGCTTATGCACATATATATGTATATTCATATGTAAATAAACATATGCATGCACACTTATATATATATATACATTATATCATAGCCACCAAAACATGCAAATAGAACAGTATATTGTCACATATTCTAGAAGGATTCTCCTTATTTTCGTCATCTATACATAGCTATTCATATCTATAACATAGGTCGCCATGGCTTGTGGTGCTACAGTAACAGGTGGGTTCTCAGCATCCCGAAGTTTGGCACTATCATGGTTTATCTCTATAGTTGACGCGGATTATATAAACCAAGAAACATAACCTGGGGGTTACCACCTTCGAAATGGATCTATGCCTCTGTCTGTCTCATTTGAGCCAATGCTGTTGGTACAAGGGATTTGACATGTCAATGTGCCTCCACTTAGAAGTGAATATATCATGACATACCTAAAGCACCTGTAGGTTCCCCAAGATATGTTTACAGAGGTTCCCCAAAAATGCCGTGTTCTTCAGGCAGTTCCCCTAAAACTTCCGTTTTTTCCTCTTGCACTTCCCCATATCAATATCAATCAATGGTGAAGTTATCTCCAAGTCTGGATCCAGCAAGGGTCGATAAACATGCCGAAATCATACACTCCCTGCGGACAAATCACTGCCGTTCTTGCAAATTTGAAACCAGAAATCCCTACACAGTAATTATTCGCAATCTCACCCATGGCATAAGACAGGAAACCTCAACCCACTAATCCCATCCCCCTAATATTAAACACCACCGGAAAGCATGGTTTAGTATGGTTTCGTGGATTTACACATATTTGAGACCATAGAATGGGTATATATTCAATATTACCATGGGATGGGATTAGATATGTTTTATTCCTCCCCTTTTATCACCATATACAGTATAATATTCCCTGCCAATATAGTCACACTAAATCTTCTTATTTTACTATAGTTGGCTACAATTATCCCATCTGCTGTGATGGCCCAGCGTCCATGATGTTGGAGAGGCGGGTGCGCCAGGGCCAAAATCGAGCCTGCAAAAGCGCGTAGACGGCCACAGTCATGGTGAGAGACAAGAACCTGCGATCTGTGCAGAATGCCGTCTGGAAGATTGGGGATTTAACTGCAAGAGGCCCCTGAACGATAGCTCAGTTGACCTATAATTTGATTGACGTTTGTAGTAAAAGGAGAATATAACTATAGTTACGGCTTTATCTTTGTCACCTTATAGCTGGCCTCACCCATGCAATATAACGGCAATAATTCATGGGGATATGGAGATCGTGACAGTAAACTGAGATGATCCTATCCTGAGTTTCGATGATAATCCCGATCAACATCTTACGACACTGTACCCTAATCAACCACCACTTTGGTATGATATGTGCAATGTATATGTTTTCTTCATTTACATCACTTACTTCTACCATGTTCTACCTTAAACCAACCTCAATCCACCAAGCAGGCTCAGAATCACCCAAAGAATCGTCTGCCCCGGTGATGTGAGAACTCAACCAAGTTTGGCAGAATGTCTAGCCCATACCCATCTCGCAAAATACCATGGGCTGAAAATGGGTCACCGACCTGGTCCTCTTTGTTCTGCCCCTCGAGGTTCAAAATGTGTCGGGATTAAAGTCCTAATGTTCGTTGAGACAAATCTAAAGGAAAACAACTATATACGTATGAATTATTTTTTTTGTTCGTCAGAACCCATCCCCACAACTACCCACACCAATGTACACATGACTAGAAATCATGATTAATCATATATTATATTATTCATAATTACAAAAAAATGAGACATCGAAATGCGATAAAATGCGTACAAAATTAAGTTTGAACTGAAACCACCAGTCGGACACATCCGTACCACCGGCCTTTCCAAATTTGGTCCAAGGCACTGCAATTCATTGTAGGCAACCAGGAGGATCGGCAAAATACCAATCAAAAAGTTCCGGAAGTTCAAAATCAACGCGAAGAAGTAGGCTTCAGGATTGAACCGGGAAAAAATGAAATTGTACCTACCACAAAATAAACCGCGCCGTGGCAATGATTGTTTGGTGTTTTTTTCCAGAAACAAACAAGGCCGATGATGCTGCACAAATGACAAGTGGAGATTCAATGACAAATAGAAATTCCATTCTTGACTATGTAGTGACTATGTAGAATCCGTGTTTATTTTGTTTTCCGGCCAAACATGGCCAAAAGAAGAGTTGAATTCCTGCATCCTTCACCAAACCGAGGCTCCCTGGTTGAATCCCCCCGGCTTCGGAGCACCGTTTCACGAACTTCACACCCCCAGGGCTGGCCACCTGCAAGCTGGCCACGGTGCATAGGTCATAGTGTGACCAGCATTAATCAATCACCAAGATTGGGGGGATCATCATCTACAATGTGGTGCCCCCAAGTTCTGTTTGTTGGTGTACAACCCCATGAAC